TTTCACAACGTAACTTTCCTGTTATACTGTTTCCTTGTCCTAAACTTTTATCATACAGCTGCAATTCTGTGTGGCACTGATTACATTTCTGTGAAACTCCTGAACTCAGTAGAGGCATTTCAAAAACTCAAGGGATGCTCTAAATTATGCAGCTGGTCCAACATGAATTTTAGAAGTATGCAGTACCAGAAGGAGGTCATCCAGTCTTTTGTGCCAACTCTTTGAGAAAACAGTTGTACATGGTCCCACATCTGTGTTTTTTCGTTAGTAACCCTGGAATTTACTCATCCCCAAGTACCTGCCCAATTCACTTTTAAAGTTATCAATGGAATCAGCTTCCACTACTTCTTCAGGCAAAGTATTTCAGATCCTGATAATGGTGAGTGAAAAAAGCTCAACTCCCACCTAGAACACCTACACTCAGTTCGCAATAAACAACTGCACCTCCCAGTCGCGAACCATTTCAACTCCCCCTCCCATTCCTCAGACGACATGTCCATCCTGGGCCTCCTGCAGTGCCACAACGATGCCACCCGAAGGTTGCAGGAACAGCAACTCATATTCCGCTTGGGAACCCTGCAGCCCAATGGTATCAATGTGGATTTCACAAGTTTCAAAATCTCCCCTCCCCCTACCACATCCCAAAACCAGTCCAGCTCGTCCCTGCCTCCCTAACCTGTTCTTCGTCCCACCTATCCCCTCCTCCCAGCTCAAGCCGCACCTCCATCCCCTACCGACCAACCTCATCCCGCCCCCTTGATCTGTCCATCCTCCCTGGACTGACCAATCCCCTTCCTAACTCCCCACATACACTCACCTTTACTGGTCCCATCCCCGCCTCTTCGACCTGTTTGTTTCCTCTCCACCTATCCTCTCCTCTATCCATCTGCTATCCACCTCCCACTCTCTCCCTATTTATTTCAGAACCCCCTTCCCCTCCCCCTTTTCTGATGAAGGGTCTAGGCCCGAAACGTCAGCCTCTCTGCTCCTATGATGCTGCTTGGCCTGCTGTGTTCATCCAGCCCTGCACCTTGTTGTCTCAACTCCCACCTTTTGCCAATAATTTTAAACCTATGACTTCTGATTATTGACCCAATAGCCAAACTCCTTGTAACTAAAGCTATGTGTTAAAATAACAACACAACTTGGATTTGTGCAGAATCTTTACTAATGGAAATCATCACAAGGCACTTTACAGCAGTTTAATCAAACAAATTGTGATGTTGTGAAATTATGTCAGTATTCATAGCTTTTAACACTGTAAAACAGATACTTAAAATTCCTACTGCATTTATAACAGCATTCCACATCATGAGAATTAAAGGGTGATATGATCTTTTGATAATTATTGAAAAGAACTCAGGATTCCTACAGGTTTCCAATGTTTGTGGTGATGTAGTGATGATGCAAAATGAAGACTCCTACCCCAGCGGTAAGAGGTTGACTTCATGTGAACTTTGAGAGCTGACAAGACTTGGATTTTGCCTATGTTCTCAAATTAGGTTTTATATTTTAGAGGCAATGTATTTTTTTATTAGAATTTGACTGATAATTGGATATTTGAAGACCATCCATAGGTTCCTCAATATAATACATGCCAAATTTTAAATTATGTAACAAGTCACACACTTATAGAAGAGTAAAGCTGTGTCATTTGTAGGGGCTGTGTTCCTGCACAATCTTGCAAACAGCAAGTTTATGAACAGTCAACACTTATAATGGTTGTGAATTTGATAGCTTCCAACAATCAAAAATTATGATATATAAAGAAGACAGTAGAAGATAAAATCCCAATTAAATTTGTTAAAGGCAATATTTTTGTTGAACATAAAGATGTTCTGCTGGATAAGTAGTGCAAAAGTACAGTACTGCATTGTATTATACACCACTACAGCTGTGTATAGCACAGCTATAAGCACAAATTGCAAATTACAGCGATATGGGCCTAAGTACAACATGGCACCTAACACACTCAGTGTCACGTTCCAATCTCAGAAAGACAATACATCATCATTATGTCAGTGTCTAAGTGCTTACAATTTGCGTTGGGTGCTTCTCCATTTTAAAAATATCTTTAGTCACCATCTTTGGCTCAAAAATCTCCTGGATGAGCCAGCGTTGAAAAGAAAATGCGTGATGTGATACATGGAAAGTTTTGTACTGATAATTGAATTCTTGAATGGAAGATCTGAACGGTAAGACTCTACAGTATTTTGCAAACACTGTAACTTCGCTGTGAGAAACACTTTGTGACATTGGTGAGTGTCGTAAGTAAACAACTAAGTAATTAGCCATAAAAAGGACGAGAGATCTTTCTCTCCATTACAGAGAGACAATTGGTTATATCTAGATTGTAAAATGTGTGCAGAAGTAGAAATCTGATAATAAATATCTTTTAATTTTTCCTCTTTGATATTCTTCAAGATAATGAATACAGTTGTATAACTCAAATATAGCTCAAATATATTTCTCAAATTCCTTAATTCTTTGCACTCTTCAGAAACAAATATTATCAAGTTAGAGAGGTATTGCATTACACAGGGTCAGCCTACTTTGAAATCACATCCAACATCAATTAAATAGAGCTTATGTATCGGAAAACTGCTAGGCATGCTGAAGCTTTTTGTGGTCTAATTGTTTACCATAGTGTCTACAGATGTACTGGTTCCCACTAAACAATCTTAAATTCTGAATCACAAATACTACCTCTGGCTGGCTTCTGGTAACTTGGATATCCTACACTTTGTCCAAACAGTTGGTGATCCCTACAGTCTTTTGGTAATGCATTATAGAACAAAAGGAATGGACACTGATACAATAAACCAGGAAATTTGATTCAATGCATAAAGGCATCAAATATTTTAAGAAGAAAATTGATTATTCATGTTTGTGAATAAATACTTGATTATGGAATTGTTTAGGTCAACAGCATGTTTTCATCCTATGAAAGTAGATTTGCTAAAAGGTCAATGTTTAATAGTGCTTCTGAACACACTCTGTCAACAGCAGGTCCTCTGTTGATCAGTGATTTTATCTCTGAAGAATGTGAAGAATCAGGGACCTTGGTAAATACATCTGATCTTTCTTCTTTTTCATTGGTGAGAATAATTTAGAAACTGAACAGGCAATAATAATTAAAATTTTACACATGCATATATTTGCCTTTTAGTACTCTACATTAGTCCAGATTGAACATCCAAATTAGTCACATTTGGTATTTCGTATACAATTCTCAACTGTCATTAAAGATGTCTCTTTTTCAGATGACATGTTAACCATTATTTTCAGTTATCAAAACCGGCCTTGGGTCTTTTGCTGTTAGAAGAATCAGTAGCTTTTCAGTAAAAAGAATTTTGAAAGGATTTTACTAGAAAACAGTTGTTTAATACTTCAGTAAAAATGTAAAATGCTCTTATTTTGTTTTGTACTTGTGATAGATCTTTGGATGCTTAATAGAATGCTTTTATTTACACACAAAAGCAAATTGAAAGGCAAGGTATCACAATTGTTTTCAGGTAGGCTTTCTGTAGATGCTGCAGGTGGTGTTGGAGCAAATGGGCCAAGTTGTCTCCTGAACCCTATATTATATGTCTTCTTTCATATAAATCCAATCAAGTATGACCACTATGGTTTCAAAGTACCTTTGAGCATTCATGCCTCATTGTCATGGCACTGTAACCTGGTGGGACTTTGATGAAGGAACATGTACCACATTACGCATGTTAAAGTATGTGAACATTCTCTGCAGATATGGGGGTTTTGTGGGCGCAAGAGCTGACAGGAATACACAGAACAGTGTGACTGCCCTATCGTTCCTTAGCAATTCCTCCCTTTCTGTTAATCATATCAGCTTGAAAAATTACTGGTAAACATTCTGCTACTAACAAAGGGAAGCCAGAGCAAAAAATTTGCATATATCATTAGGGCTCATAAAAACGTAAAAATCAGCAAGTAAACCCTAGAACATAGTTACAAAAGGCTTTTAGAAAGACCTTGTACCTGCAGACCGATTGAAAACCTCCTTGCAGTCAGCTTTCCATGTTTAGAATCGGATTTTGCATGTTCATGAGGCAGAAAATGGTACAATGCCCTTTGCTCTATCTTTTCCACTTGCTCTAAAACAGTGTTTCAGTTACACGTCCCAGACTCATGCAATACAATGGGGCCCAAAATAATTGATTTCCACCAGTTAAGACCATAGACCTTAAGAAATAGGAACAGGAATCAGCCATTCAGCCCATCAAGCCTGGCTGCCATTCAATAGAATTGGCTGATCCGACATTTCTCAAGTCCACTTTTCTGAATTTTCCCCACAAACTTTCATTCCCCTACTGATCCAGAATTAATCTATCTCAGCCTTAAATGTACACAAAGACTCTGCCCACACAGCTCTCATGGCAAGGAGTGCCAAAGACTCCCAATGCACTGAGAGAAGAAATTCATCCTTATCTCAGTCTTAATTATGGTTAGTTGGTAGCCCAATGTGAGGTATTAGGAATACAAGAAATGATCTAATGGCCTTCCTACCTTTCATAAATACTAGTGTAATAAATACATTTGCCAGTACAGAACAGAAACAAATCCAGTGTGTATATACGATAGTATCATAGGAATTATCCCCAGGTGACCCTTTAATTCTGGATCAATTTGTACAATCATGTCAGGTAATGCTGATATTATAATTATTGCTATACCTCAGTTCAATTAACATGTGAATTAAGAATAGTTATTGAAGTAAAGATCAATGAATGTTTCAAATAATTTTTTCCAATGAAATCATATTTTCCCACTAGTAATGGAATATTGAGTGTGTCATGCTAAACTTCTTTATGGGAATGATTTCTCGTTACCAACAGTACATTCCCCATTCCTAATTTCAAAGAAACTGCCATGAACACCAAATATGTAAGTTTTGTTATACAGCAGTGTCGATTTTATTGCTTTACCATTTGCAAAACTGTTGTCAATTGATTTATGTTATGAAGTTGTACAGTTCTTACCTTCTCAGTTTGATTGTAAAAACAAGTCATTGTAGAACAGGAATCTTCTGATCCTGAAGATGAGCTTGGCGGTGAGAATGATGAACTCTCTGTGGTCAGCTCAATTGGTTGTTCAGTAACTCCTACTGGACCATATGTCATTAAATTTAGAAATCATATCTGAAGTGACACAGTATTTTATAGAAATATATTTCTATGACATATAAATGCTAAAATTCAAAGATGTACAATGTAGATATGAAAAATAAGTCCCAGAGTCTGCAACCATACATATCATTTATTAACGACAGTGCAGTCTTCTTAAAGAGAGAGAACGGCGGTCAGCATTGAGAGGAAAACGCAGAGATGCAGGGGTTGAGAGATCGAGCCCAGTGTGGGAGAGAGATCGAGCCCAGTGTGGGAGAGAGATCAAGCCCTCATGGGGAAAGCCTGACGTGGAGCAACTACGGGCACATGGCTAACGATGAGTTGTAAGTTGGAATGTCTAATGTTAGTTCTTATTTAGTACTTTATACTGAGAAGAACTGTAATGTTGAACTTTTAAATTATTTCTTTATTTTTCTGCTTTTTACCTAAGATTTTGTACCTAGACACCTTGTACGTGGCATCATGAATGGTGGCATTGCAAACTTTCCTCTGTACTTCTATATCTCTGCACTTGCATACATATGACAATGAAATCTAATTCTAATTTTACTTCTAATTCCAAAATCCTTCCAGATGACAGTGCTCTGAAGATCCACCCTCATTGCTTGAAATGATTGGCCTTTCATGATACTCTACTCTATCACACTGAGACAGGCTGAGAATATTGGGTATCAGAGTGACTGTTTCAATCCAAATGGAAACCCTCTGTGAATGCTAACAATTGTATAGGTGGGAATTTTAACTTCTACTCATTGTTAGCACGTTGTTGACTGCCTTGCCACCAAAATGAGCATGAGGGTCAATGGGAAGTTGCAGAAAGTTGGGAGCCACAAGCATTCTATGAATTTGCGTAAGGATTGAGAGTCTGGGGTGAGGAAGATATACAAGAGGCGTACCTGCTCCTCCTGACTCTGCAAAGAAAATATATCTTAGGATATCAGGCCTGATTGAAATCTCCTGCATGGCCAGCCCAGATTTCTTCTGGAATTTAGGTGCTATTGACACAATAAGGCCATAATTTGCTTAAACATGTGGAATTCCTGCTGAAGTCAGTCAAGTATCTCATAATGCCTGAAAAATCAGGTATTTTCAATTTGTATCAGAGTGGAAATGATGCAATTATTCTACCCGCCACATTTTGATAGTCTGTTCCACCAAAACTCCCCCTAAGTAACATAGTGTTCACTTTTAAATGAGTTGTCCAGAACTGCTGCTCTGCCTGAAATCAGGCAGAATGCCTTGGATAGAAAATGATTTTTTTTTATTTTCCAAAATTTTAACACAACAATTGTCTTTAAAGCTCAAAAGTGATTTAAATTTTTCTACAAAAACTGTCATTCATTAACTTACGTGTGATATCATTGCCCCACTTGACGTTATTTGCTCGAAATGATGGTGGATCCCCCTTTAAAGAACTGGCTTGAAAAGCTACTGTGTGGTGTGTAAGGAAAAACAAAAATCTTCAGTTTGGTGGTTTACAATCATTCCCAACGTACTTAACATACCAATTAAGGTCCAAGTTAATGCAAATAGAGTTCTAACAGTATTGTAAACAGAAGCAGCAGATCTGGCATGGTATTACAATAACATATATCTATGTGGTTGATTTGTCACTAAATAGCATTGAGAAGCATAAATGTCACGCTGAATAGGCTGTGTTTGATGCTAAATTGCATAGAACGTGCTAAAGACACTTCAACAGCAGCATTGCCATTATTCTACTGCTGGCAGGAATATTAACTATATGAAAGCAAACTTTTTTTTAATAAGCCAATCTGCACCAGAGTATAGCTTTTGTTGCCATTCTGAAACATAAGAAGCCTGTTAAATTCACACATTGCAAAGTGAATTTCCTCAGAGGTATATTTTATCAGTTATAGTGTCAAAGATGGGTTTCAGAGAGTTAAACAATTGGTAGTCTTGAAAATTCATCCATTCTGAACACATTCACTAGCAGGCATGAGCCCTTATTGTATTTTAAGACATCCTGTGTCATTGAAATGCTGTTTTTCTTTTGAAGAAGTTCACTTTGGCAAACCTCACAGCAGTCATGTAAAAATGAAATATTGTGGATGCTGGAAATTTGATATAAAAATACAAAAATGCTGGAAATACTCAATGGGTCTGGGACAATCTGTGGAGAGAGAGTAAAAAAAAAGTTAATTATGCAGGTTGCCAGCCTTTTGACAAAACTGGAAACTGTCAGAGATTCAACAACTTTTAACGGGGTGCAAAGCCAGGGAGGTATGTAGATGAGAGATTAAATGACAAAAGGCACAAAAGGAGGTGGTCATGGGGTAAGTGAAAAAACAAAGGATGGCTCCCAAGAAGATGCCAATAGTAATTTTGGAAGGCAATAGTTGGTTCTGCTTTTTCCAGTTACATCTCTTCCACACTCAATCTTTAGCTCCTTTTTTTGTCTATTACCAGTTCCATTTGCATTTCAGTACCATCCCCTTTGTCATTTCATCTCCCTTGCCTCTTTTAGACCTTCCATTTTGTTCTTCTTTGTCACTCCCTATATTTGTTTAAAATCTGTCACATCGCTAATATTTTCCATTTTGATGAAAACACATCATACTATCTCCCCAGATAGTATCAGTCCTGCTGAGTATTTAAGACATCTTCTATTGCATCTCTACATTACTTGTTGTGTGAGAGAGAGAGAAAAAATGAGGTATGGTGGGATACTAGGAAGTGAGAGTGTAGTGTTAATAAGGACAGATTGGAGAAACAGATGGTGGAGTATAAATTCATGGAAGCTAAGGCAGCTTGCAAGCCGAATCAACTGCAGATATGTCACAAAATGCACCTCAAAAGCAGCAATTTTTTAAAAACAAATTTATTGCTAAGAACAAATCCACATGCTGAGGCTGAAGAAGGAATAATGGGAAATAACATACAAGCTCAGATTGAGTTTACAAACAAGGTTGAGTACATTCAAACAAGGAAATAAAAGACAGAACGGGGAATGAAAACTAACCTAATGTGCAGATTGCACTTAATTAAAATCTGTTGCATCTTCAAATGGTTTTGTCAAGTGCAGCTAAAATAAATATAATGATGCCAGGGCAGAATTTTTTCCTGTAGCAGGTTCACCAGTGGAAGGGTGGATGGAATGTTTGCCTACTGCTCAGACCTAACCATGAGCCTGACTCAGTTTTCTAGATTGGGGTGAATTGAATATGCAGGGCAGGCATTTAGCTGTCTCACTGTCACTCAGAGTATACCTAGCTCTGCTGTCTAGAATTGTGCAGTAGAATGAGAGGGTGGACCATTTAAAGCAAGGTCTTGAAGAGTTCAAGGAATTTCTTAATTGAGCATATTGAATTGGACTGACACCCTCATGTACTAAATATTTTGCATTCTTACGGAGAGCGTGGTGACCAGTGCTCTCTCAAACCAACAAAAAAGTAAACCTTGAGCACGACCCCTGATATCACAATGTCCCAAGGCTCATGGCAGTAGTGGTAAAAAGCAGAAAATTCATACAGCTCCCATGGCTTCTCTTCTCAACTATCATTTATCTGTTCAGGGAGTAACTGATCATGTTTTCTGCTGGAGCAAAAGTAGAAATATCCAGAGCAGTTGGAGCAATACAGCTGTAGGTCTCCAGAGTCTTTGCTGATTTTCTGCTAACTTAGGGTGGGAAGTTAAAAAAAATTGCTTAAAAAAAAATTTTGCTCCATAGGTGAATTCCAATGACTGAGATCTAAGTTGTGATATAATACCCTGATATCCAAATGATCCTACAATGAATTATGTAAAAAACTCTGGATTATGCTTAGTGTCACACATTGGTGTAATTTGGTCTGAAAGCATAGTTCACAAATGGGTGCAATGGGTTCTTGTGGCACAGTGGCAGAATCCCTATGTCTGAGCCAGAAAGCCTAGGTTCAAGTTCAAACTGCTTCAGAGGCATGTCATGCCATCTTTGAACAGGAAACATATCTACAGTTAGGAGAGTTTTATACTTTTGAAGCACTGAGACAATTTCTGAGACAGGCAGAGGTTGCAGAGGTTATCATTTAAGCCACAATCCAGTGCTTTCTTTAATTGGAAAGCACAAGAGGATGTAATCTGTGAGATTTTGCTAGTTTCAAGGTCAATCTTTTTGGTTCAAATCCAGAAATTGCCAGATTTCATTAATTAAATTTCACAATATGTCTTATGAACCAAATCCTTTTGAACTACTGATCTAGCAACATAACTACAACATGATCATACCCATCTAGGAGAAAATGATGGAGGGTATGCAGTTAATGTAGACTAGGTACAAATCCTCCAGTTTCTGGATTGTCAGAATTAACCAGGAAATGTTTGACAGAAAACATCTAGCCTAAGTCCTGCATAACTACACAACTGACCCACCCCCAGTCACACACAATGACCACCTGATTTTCTCCTCATGCTTCTCAAACCCCTCAACTAACATCCTCCACTTGCCTGACTCAGCCCCTTTTATCCTGAAAGCTTTCCACATTTGACTGCCCAAACCATCCAACTTGCCCCTAAACCAGTTCTGACTGGACTTGTACTGACCCAACCTGACTAGACCTGTCCACTCATTCACATACCATCTTACCAATCTGCCAACACACCATTCTGCCCACCTTCCATTTCACCTACCTAAACCTTACCCACCAACTTCCTCACTGCCTTTACCTCCTGCCAGCCTATCCATCTAGTACCCTATCCATCAATCTATTTACCTCACCTACCTATTCACCCTATCATTTTACCTATTCACTAATTCATCTACCGACCCATCCACCAATGTTTACAATGAACCTTTAAACAGACCATATGATGATTAAAAGAGGATGTATCCTGTCTCACCTAAACTCTGCATTGCTGTGATGTATTGTTCCACTGCATACTATAGTCCATATTTCTGGTAAAGCCAGGCTGGAAGACCTGGCAAGAAATGTGGAGCACTGTCGGGGCATGGAAAAGTTCAAGAGGAGTGGCATTCTAACAATGAAAATGAGGGCCCATGCATAAAATTGAAAGTGGTGGTATGGAAAAACAATTAGTTGAAAAAAGGGGAGAAAAGGCTGTTGTGAAGCTAATGATTCATAAATTGGCCAGCAATGGCTAGCAAGATGCATCAGGTGTCATTGTGGAGAATTTGTTTGCTCCTCCTCTCTCACGCATACATTTCTGGATTTGCATAAAGGATTAAATTTCATATTTTTATGATGATGCTGAACATGGAGGAATAACAAGCTGGGTTTGGGAGCTTCTATTAAGCAAAACTGAACACAGTAGGAACTAAGTTGCAATAATTGCATAAAATAATAGTTAGAATTCTGATGAAACATCACCAACTTGAAATGCTAACTCTATTTCTTTCTCCACAGATGTTGCCAAACTTACTCAGTATTTCAAATGTACAAAATAAGAGTAGTCAATTCAGATCCTCCAGACTGCTCCTTGGTTCAATGATTTCCAGCATTATTTGGTTTTATTTCAGATTTCCAGCAACCACAATATTTGCTTTTTGTATTAATAATGAAATCATGTTTGGAATGCTGTGTACTCTTATGCACCCCTTGTTGTTGGGAATATGCATTCGTCTAGAGACAGTGCAATAAGATTTGTCAGGCAGATGTCAAGATTGTGGTTTTGACTTATAAAGGAAAACATAAAGTAACACGGATTATTAGCTTTTATAGAATGCATGGGGATGAGATAGAGGTGTTCAAATTCTATAAGGAATAGACAAAGTAAACTGATCATTTTCATTGATAGATTAAACAATGACAAGTTTTCGAGATAAACAGGAGGCACATAAAGGGAAAATGTGGAAGAATGGAAGAAGTATCAGTAGGAAGAATTACTACAAAGATCCACGATGCTAAACTAACAATAGCATCAAAGAAGTACTGGATAATTTTTAGTGAGCTAATTCAAATCAGAAACCAGAAAATCCTTCTCTCCTATATCGTGGCAAGGGTTTGGAGTCTGCCTCCAGATATTCATCGAACAGCTTTTTAGGTTAGCGGGAAGTAAGCTGGTCCCACCTTACAGATGCTGCATCCACAAATGGATATATTGCAGGGTGCGATTCACACTTTGTCCACCAGGTGAAAGCTTTGCTAATACACAAAGTCAGCCTCCCTCTGATTATTTTTCATATGCGGAGAGCACGGGTTTGATTGTATTATAAAGATTCAAAACCGACGTTCGTAAAGCACTCAGGAAATCTAACCCACAGAGCGAAAACTTTGCAACCTACTTTCACACTGGACTGAAGCTAAATTCTAAACATTTTAAATGATATTGGAAAGCCTACTTGAAGAGGTGTAGCACTATTTAGATACAATTCACTATATTCAAAGAAAATCAAATGTGTGTGTGATTCCCAAACTCATTTGCACTAGCTTGGGCACCTAAATTGCTATGCATCATTGTGAAGGCGGAAGTAAAACTGTAGTTGTAAAATTAAAATTAGTTTTGGATTTCTATTGCAATTAGAAATTGCAAGAAATGCCGTTTCAAAACAGCATTTGCTCATCTGAGAAGGGGCTCACTCTCAATTTATTTTATTCATTCACAGGATGAGGGCGTTGCTGGCTAGACTAGCATTGCCTATTCCCATTGTCAAGGGGCAGTTAAGAGTTGACCACATTACTGTGAGTCTGAGTTATATGTAGGTCAAACCAGGTAAGGATGACAGTTTCCTTTCCTAAAGGACATTAGTGAACCAGGTAAGTTTTTTCCCGAGATAACAAGGTGTAGAGCTGGATGAACACAGCAGGCCAAGCAGCATCAGAGGAGCAGGAAGGCTGACGTTTTGGGCTTAGACCCTTCTTCAGAAATGGGGGAGGGGAAGGGGATTCTGAAATAAGTAGGGAGAGATGGGGAGGCGGATAGAAGATGGATAGAGGAGAAGATAGGTGGAGAGGAGACAGACAGGTCAAAGAGGTGGGGATGGAGCCAGTGAAGATAAGTGTAGGTGGGGAGTTAGGGAGGGGATAGGTCAGTCCAGGGAGGACGGACCGGTCAAGGGGGCGGGATGAGGTTAGTAGGTAGGAGATGGGGGTGGGACTTGAGGTGGGAGGAGGGGATAGGTGGGAGGAAGGACAGGTTAGGGAGGCGGGGACGAGCTGGGCTGGTTTTGGGATGCGGTAGGGGGAGGGGAGATTTTGAAGCTTGTGAAGTCCACATTGATACCATTGGGCTGCAGGGTTCCCAAGCGGAATATGAGTTGCTGTTCCTGCAACCTTCGGGTGGCATCGTTGTGGCACTGCAGGAGGCTCAGGATGGACATGTCGTCTGCGGAATGGGAGGTGGAGTTGAAATTGTTCGCGACTGGGACTCTCCCTCCCATTCCGCAGACGCCAGTGGAATGGGAGGTGGAGTTGAAATTGTTCGCGACTGGGACTCCCCCTCCCATTCCGCAGACGCCATGTCCATCCTGGGCCTCCTGCAGTGCCACAACGATGCCACCCGAAGGTTGCAGGAACAGCAACTCATATTCCGCTTGGGAACCCTGCAGCCCAATGGTATCAATGTGGA